GGTGATCTGTCGCCAATTTTGTATGAAAGTTTTTAATCTCCCCCCTACTGGTAGGGGATATTGGGGGACCCGCAACGGTCGTGCCAGATAGTCAGAATTGTTGACCCCCCCGGCCGGAGTGGCGCTTGAATTTTTGCTGAAATTTCGATTGTCCTCGAAAGGATGATTGTCCTCGAAAAGGCTTGTTGTCTCCCCATTTCTTTTGTGGCGTTTTGCTCTCAGCTGAAAATCGGGGTGACTGGCCCTGGGTGGATGGCTCCCGGTATCTGGGAGTGTGGTGTCTATCGTTGTGTGAGTGTCGATAGGTTGAGCTCGATGGGGCAGATAACTTGTACACCGTCTTGTCTGCTGTATTTGATGCAGTGATTGAGGATTCCAGGATCTCCTGGAACTTTCCTCCGAAGAGATCTTCACCTTTCACAGGGAGTTTTTGGAGGAGAGCTGCAGCATTTTTCTCTATTTGGAGATGTTCAAGGACAAGCGATCTCCGAAGGCGAGTAACGAGGATGCTTGTTCTAGTCGCCTGTTCAAATTGGAGTTCTGCAATCTGCAGTAGCAGGTCTGAGAAGCTTACGATCTTCAGGTGAGATATTGAGCTTGTCTGCCTCACGTTGGGCAGTGAGTAAATAAGTTTGATAGGCAGCGAGCCTCATTGAGCCCCGAGCTGCTGAGTCAACCGCGTGTAACTGTGATTCCATCATGTTAAATTTGGGGGAGCGGAGGGGGTTACGCCTCGACGTTGATCTTTTTGCCCTGGCGTCCCCCACTCGGGTAGCAGCGTCTGGTACGGACGGGGCCTTGAAAAAGGCCTTATATTCAGTTTCCCCGAAGGGAAACTTGCGACTTACCTCCTTCCGCAGGGGTTTCAGTCTGGTCCCTCTATCACTCAGGCTGTTCATGCATGATATGAAGGGGGCATCAAGCTTAATGGCACACGATGATGCTTGTTTGTCACCACTTAGATGAGAGTCCAAACAGAAAATTGGTTTAGGAACATTTTGCTGTTGTTCTGCTTGTTCTGCCTTCAGCTGGGGGCAGTATTTAGTGATAATTTCCGCTGGTTGAAGCGGCTTGATATTAACATCATCTGCGTCCTTAGGGGGAGATTCATGAACACTTTCACCCAACAGAGAGGCAGAGTCACTGGCAATGTCATTGTCTGGAACAGAAAAAGTAGTTCGCTTTCTGCTAATGCCAGTAGTATAATCCATGTCAGAGAGTGTCGAGGAAGAGGCAGAGTCCGTCCATTTTCTCTTCCTGGAACCAGCCATAGGTCGATGATAACTTAGTTCAGAGTTAGACTCATCATCGAGTTGAATAGAGGCGGCATATCGTGCTAAGCCAGGTCGAAAAGAACGAGGAGGGGTAGGGCTAGCCTCCCGACTGCGACGTGAGCTTCCCTCTCGTTGTCTTGGCCGCGAACGCCCGGCTGAGTCCCCGGCGGCTACCGGTGGGTCGTCGTGTGAAGAATCGCCCGGCCCGTCGGGCTGGGTTGCCGTCGCCGGTGCGGTGGGTCCTGATTTTGGTACCGAGAAATTCCCAACAATGGGTTGATTTCCGGACTGAAAAGCCGCCTGAAGAGTCTGAAAAAACCAGTTCGCGGCTGCAGATGGATCCATGGACATGATTGGTTGTTTGGGCAATCCTGTTTGTGTATTTCTTTCGGATATATCGACGGATTGCTCATGTAATTCTCCCTCCGTTATTTCGTTTACCGGAAAAAAGTTTGATTGAGTTGGAGTGACAACCTCGTCCCCACTGGGGCTCATAACCTCCGTCCCCAGTGGTAGTCCACTGCTCATTTCATTTTCTTCCGTGGGAGTAGTAACATTTTCCACTCTACTCTCACTCCCCTGGTTTTGTTTAGATATTGATCCCGGGGTAGCACCCGTGTTCTTGGGATTCGATTTTCGCTTCATTGCCTCCGTCCCACGTGGCAGCCCACTAGGTATTTGGGGAGATTTTTCTTTCGTGGGAGGGTTGTTTGGTTTCCCCCGATCAGAGATCGGCTCATGGGATGTAATCGTGGATACCCCCGGGGTAGCACCCGCGTTTTTGGGGTTAGATTTTCGTGTAGTTACCTCCGTCCTCCGTGGTGGTTTTTCTTTCGTGGGAGGAGGGTTTTGTTTCCCCCGATCAACGATCGGCTCATGGGATAAAGTCTTGGACACCCCCGGGGTAGCACCCGCGTGTTTGGGGTTCGACTTGTCTGTTTGTTTCTTGGTTTTCGAAATTGTCTTTTTCGATTTTGATGGTGTTTTGTTCCCCTTTTCATTAGCTGGGATGTCCGATAAGGACCCATCCTTAGCGGTGTTTGTTGACATCGTTTTTATTTGTGAAGAGTTGAAGTCTCGAAGAGCCGGTGAAAGATTGCGAGCGCGCCTGATAACATTGGGTTGTACTATCAACAGGCGCCGGCAAAGGAAAGAGGAAGTGTTATTGGCGCGGGGCCTTATATACTACTGACGGTAGGGGTTTCCTGCACTGACTCCGACGGAGTATGACGTCACAAAAAGACTTAGTCTGTGTTTACAGACTCTTTTTTGTGTTTTTCTCTAAGGAGAAAACCTTTGCCGGTAAATAGCGGGTAAAGTAAGGGAATAGCATTAATGGTATAGGTAAGTATGGCGTAGTCTGCCGTAGATTGTATTATGGCTAATATATCATTCTAGTTCCTCTAAAAATAAAAGAATCTCCCAAGTCATACATTTTTGAAAATTGAAATTTTGTTCATTTTGTGTTTTTAGAATAAATGGGAAAGTTGTCCGCCACTACATCAAAGAAACTTTACTGATTTACTGATTAAGCCAATTTGAAGAGCTCATAGCTATAGTGATTACTACTTTAAAATATTCATAACTTTCTCACAATAATGTCAGATTTCATTCAAACTTTCTCATAATTATATGTATTTTCATTCAAAATTACACCAGTCTTTTTCCCTGATTTTTTTCTGCTTTCTCCTAGAGTAGTTTGCTATCAAGATTGGATTTCACTTTAATCATGTTAAATGACAACAGATTAGTTTAAATTTCATGTATATACCCAGCCTGTTGGGTAAAATGATGTAGATACTCTGCAACAACAAAAATCAACAAAAGGCATTGCAGTTCGCTCAATAAATTTATAATACATTCTTTCATCTGATAACCATTAGTTGATTTCACGTTTTTTTGCAATTCTTTATACAGACTGATAAAGATCATGGAATATGTAAACAAAATTGTTTCTATTTCTGAGAGGAAATTATTATCACTGATGGAAGTTAATTGCAAGTCAGGTTTTTCAATATACCGGTATATCAGAAAGGAGGTCTCAGCAAAACATATTTTCTGAAATATTACATAAACCCCTGTACTTGTACCCGAGAGTGGTGTATAGGTATGACATAATATTCCGGCAGGATTGACCCTAGAATACAATCTTAAATATTCATATTTACTTCTACTCTCAAAACATCATTTATAAGAGTGAAGTCATTGTCAAAACTTTTTATCTTTTATCTTAACTGCTCTATCTTTCCCTAAAAACATATCAAATAGTTGGAAAGATTTTCAAATTTTTATTACCAGAGTTGCATTCAAATTATTCCTACTCACAGATCGTATCAAGAGAAAACAAGAATAGGTCATGAACCCACAACACCACAAACAATAATCATTAACATTGAATCTACCATCAAGATTGTGGACAGGTTCCAAATAGTCTGCAGGCACAGACCCTAATTTGACACTTTATCAACAAATCATTGTGCCTTGAGAGAAGTCTAGCCCAGCTACCTACTAGTGTCAGGAGCAGCTATAGTACATGGCCTATGGTAGTCTTATAGTGCAGACTCACTTTTACGACTGACCAGGGTTTGTGCTTGCAGACTAGGTTCCAAAGGTGTTCATAATTGACAAAAGTCAAGTTCAAATTGGTACTACTCACAAATCACATTGACAATAAATGAAATATACAAGAGTAAATCATGAATCCCATATGACAAACATGAAAACTGACTTCAAATTACTACTAAAAATCACTGATCATATCAAAAGGAAAAGATTTTCAAAAGTACAAATCACAATTGCACAACAAAATATATATTATACAACCATCAAATTTACCACCAAAAACCAAAAAACATGAGAAACGTTTTACAGGTGTTTATCAGATTTCAGAGGTAAAGTTAAATTTATTACTACTCTGCTTACATTAAAAAGAAATTATACAGATTACATGTATTATAATCTTCCTGTTACAAATGTTGGTCATTATTCCACAAAACAACACAATTACACATTTTGTTTATGCACTGTTCCTACTATGTATTATATCTCAATGTAACCCACTGAATTTTATTATCTGTGAACAATTATTTTACAGGGTGAATAAATGAAAAAAATAAAAAATAAAAAAAGGCATCAGATTCACCATTAAAAGTCACTGCATGAACAGGAAATAATATTTACAAATAGAATTTGTAATTCAAACATTAATACAGATATCAAATTTACTAATGAGAGATCACTGATCATATAAAAAGGAAATAATATTTACAAATAGAATTTGAAATTCAAATTTACCACGAAAGATTTGAAAGGTGTTTAAAAGTAGCACATGTAAAATTTCAAATAATTAATGTTAACTGATCATAATATAAATAAAAGGGAAAATATACAAAGTGTAATTCAGAAACAAACAAAACATACACTAATATTAAGATCAAGTTTACCACTTGAATCAAAGAAAAACAACTGGAAATGTCTTTAAGGTGTTTCACACAGGCTAAGTTCAATGTATTCATGGGCAAGCAACGCTAGATGTAAAGTATTTTGTTCCATACGTTATTGACCACATGTAAGATTTTTTAGCATATCTGATCTTTGAATAAAGTTAATAACCCCACTATTGATTAGAATAAGGTCAAATATGAAGTAAATTTATATCCATAACTCCAAAACTTAGTTATATTATGAGAAACCATATACTCACTGATCACGGTCACATGAAAAGTAAATGACTTTTACAAGTGTAAATCATGTTTCCAAGACATCACAAACGTCAAAATAAGCAAAGTAAACAAATCATGATACTCTCTCAGCATCACTGACACATCCTTAGACTGACTCAGGATTTGTTTGATGCTGAGGAAGGACTAGAGAGAACCTGTTCCCTCAGGAATCCTGTAAGATCATCAAAGTCCAGGTCTAGATCCAGGAACTTGGCTAGAATCTCCTTGTACCTGTCAAACTGGGTCTCGGAGCTTGAGGAGTCTACCCTCAGGATTGGTTGGTTCTCTCTCAGAAGTTTAGAGACCTAGACAAGTGGGTGGAATTGATGGTAGAATTATTTAGATGAGGATTGCATTTTAGATAATATAATAATAATAATAATAATACACAACATTTATTAGACGCTTAATACGGGTGTTTTTAAGCGCACCATTGTCTGACTAAAAGTTAACAACCAAAACTTATAATAAACATTAAAAAAATATATATGTTCTTTATTCAATAAATCATGCATATATAATAACAAAAATAAAAATAATAATGAGATCAAACATAAGGTCAGACATAAGATCAAACATAAGATCAACCAAACAAGGAATAAGCTGGTGTGCACCTCCTTTGACTGACTCACAACTGCAGAATATCATTCATGAATTAAAAAGGTGCGTTTTCAGCAAGGTCTTAAACTGGTCAAGAGAATGAATATTGTTATCATTTATTCTATCTTCTTTATTTTTTCTCTCTGCTCTCTGTCAATTTCACATATTCTTTTTACAACTATCTTTCTGTTTCTTCTTTCCATTCCTCTTGGTCCTACAACTTATCATTTTCATTTCCGCCCCCTCCCCTTCTTTCATTCTTCCAATAGGTTCTTAAAACTGATATTTCCTGTCTTACATGTATTCTGCTGGAATTGTCTTATCTATTCTCTCTCTAATCTTTCTACCCCACTGTCTTAACCTCTTTATTAAGTTTTCCTTTATTTCTTAAACACTCTTGTTCGTCTCCATCACTTGTTTTTCTTTCAATTTTCTCTCTCCGGTCCCCTCGACCTCCCTGTTTCCCCTGTCTATTCACCTCTCTGTCTCTCTTTCCCTCTACATCGCTCTCTGAAGTGAAACATCATCCAATTTACCTTTGTACCCCTCTTGACCAGTTCTTCTGGTAGACCAGCGGTCAGTGCTATGTGGCTAGCATGGCTGTAGTTAGCATGTCCATCGGTCAGCTCGTACAGAAAAACCAATTCACCATCATTTTCAAGCACCTCCATGGTCTAAATGGAGTTTAAAAAAAAATTGATATGCATGAAGAAATAAACATAAGATTATTATCTTTCTATCACATGAACATTCTTGATGTTCATGGCATAATGTAGTAGGAAGAGAGTTGGGCAGAAAACAGCATTTAGGAGTACTTTGAACTTCCAGAAAAGTCTCTCTTGAGGGAGGGTAGTAGTAGTAGTAGTGGTAGTGGTAGTGGTAGTGGTAGTGGTAGTGGTAGTGGTGGTGGTGGTGGTGGTGGTGGTGGTAGTGGTAGTGGTAGAGGTAGTGGTGGTGGTAGTGGTAGAAGCAGCAGCAATAAGAGCAGTATTAGTAGAAGTAGAAGTAGTCTTTATTGGATATTTTTTAGCACAAGGCTAATCTGTTGAAGGTATAGTCCTATTCCCTGATGATAGCGTGAAAGTGGGTTGAAACCATCAGTTTTGGACAGTCTGATCCCCGCCCCCCCCCCCCCACTCGGGAACGGAGGCACCGCATGCGTGTTCCCAAAATCTCTGGCTCGTAACAAAAGAAAAAGGTCTACCCATATTGACTTTACACACCGGAAACGGGGGGGGGGGGGGGGGGGGGGGGGGGGGGGTGCTGAAAAGGCTTGTATAACTAAAGAAAAAGGTCTACCCGTATTGACTTTACACACCGGACTTATGCTGAAAAGGGGGGGGGGGGGGTGCTGGGAACACGCATATGCGTACCCTAAATAACACTGAGTGGGGGAGGGGGGGCGGGTCCGATCCTTTGTCTGTAACCAGTATCTAACAAAAACAAAATCTTACATTATACCTATTTAACACCAGAAAGGCATTCACTCGTATCATGCTTTAGGCTCCTAACAGGTGATTTGTTCTTTGTTGTATGAACCGTTACCTTATAAGAGAGTTGCTTCGATGCTGGTAGCAGCCCTTCTCTGACGATGGCATGGAAGTGAGTAGAAACCATCAGGTTTGGACAGTCAGATCCTCTGCCTTCCCAATGTTTAATACAAGCCACCAGCAGCGAGAGACCGTCCACTGTATCTGTGCTCTTTCCAAACTCATCGACGATAACCAGAGAGTTCTTAGTTGCATCACGGACGGCTGCAGATAGCTTTAGAATGTACAAAACAATTTTAAAATGTTTAAAATTTCATATTAGAGAATTAAAAAATGTCATGGCTTACCTAATAATAATAATAATAATAATAGCCTAATAGTCCACTCCAAATGTTATTAAACCGAAACGGAACACGCTCATAGAACACTGAGGCTGTTGGTTTAAGGAAATAACTCTGCCTAACACTGTGCTACATGTGAAAGGCAAATCAGCAAGGACCTAAATATATGTTCCATTTGCATTTAAATCATGGATTAGATTAGAAAGGTGATACGTGTCGGTAAAGGAGCTACATTTTTAAATCAATAATGTGACTTATTCTTTGAGGTGCACTCACAGGAAATTAAAATACCTGTGTACATAAACATGTTTATTTAGCATTCTAGCACACTCTTTCCAATTCTCACTCGAAAAATTACTTTTCCTTTCCTGATCTGGTCTTACTAAACTATTCCTCAAGCATGTTGTTCTTTATGATAATAATAGTTACCATTCATATAGCGCTTAACAAACATGTACTTATAGTGCATAATTGCTTCAATAAATGCCATATTTTAAATTCAAATTCTTTTATTTCACATCTTTTAGAAACACAAGGTATGCAGAAATACATTTTAAGATGTATATCCCTACATTGCTTCAAGTAGATACCATATTTTAAATTCAAATTCATTCATTTCACGTCAAAGTACAACGTATACAAAATACATTTTGAAATGAATATCTCCATGTTTTTGTTGCAACTATATGGAAATAAAGAACAAAGACTTCAGAAGTTGGATTGAAACCTATTTCTAACCTGATTGAGGTCTATCATGAACGTTGACAGTCCCACTGATACCGATTCTTGTGTGTGAACTCGAGTGTAGATGCCATCTAGCATGCCAATGCTTGCCTTCTCGGCCGGTACGAAGCTACCAATCAGAGCCATGAATGCTATCAAACCAACCTGTATATGGAAGAGGGAGGGAGGGAGGGAGGGAGGGAGGGAGGGAGGGAGGGAGGGAGGGAGGGAGGGAGGGAGGGGGAGGGAGGGAGGGAGGGGGGGGGGGAATGGAGCAGAAATATATCAGTCAGGAGGTGCCTTCTGTGTAACAAGCCTTGTGCTTTTTGGGGGGTGGGGGGGGGGGGAAGGTAACCTTACATCTATTATTTTCCCAATTTATGTATTGTTAACTTAATTATTCATACACTTACCAAATTTTTTTATTTTTTTAAGTATGTAAAGAATTTATTTATCCAGATTTATGTTTCTTGAGAATGTGAGATACATGTATTAAAGCTTACATGTAAAAGTATTCAACAAAGGCCCTAATTTAAGCAGGCCCCCTTTCATTCTTGAGTTACGAAAACCACAAAAACATCAAATTTACAAGGGGTATGAATAATTCAGTTGTTAGCTGTATATCTGTATATATGACTTTAAATGTGTCTTACATGTTGGATGATAAATAAATTGAAATTCAATTGAAAAAGATCTTGGTTCTTGGGATGTGTTATACATTTTGATGTCTGTTTCAAAGACATGTCCATGCACGCATATTTCATCAAGTACAAAATGTGTTCACATCTTCATTTGACTTGACTGTTGCTACAAGATTTCAGAATGATCTCAACAGGCAAGAGATGGAGAAACAGAATGAGAGAGAAAGAGACAGGAAGAGGCTTATGGGAATAAAGACTGTCTATCTTACTGCATGATTGGCTTGCTGACTGATGGCATAAAAAGAAGAAGGAGAAGGAGAAGGAGGAGAAGGAGAAGGAGAAGAAGAAGGAGAAGGAGAAGAAGAAGAAGAAGAAGAATGAGAAAAAGAAGAAGGAGCAGAAAAAAGAAGAAGGAGCAGAAAAAGAAGAAGGAGGAGAAAAAGAAGAAGGAGGAGAAAAAGAAGAAGGAGGAGAAAAAGAAGAAGAAGTAGAATGAGGAGGAGGAGAAAAAGAAAAGAAAAAGGAGGAGGAGGAGGAGGACAAAGGCATTTGGTTACCACACCTTTGATTGCAAGTCATCAACATCCCAGGGCCCCGTCTTATAAAGAGTTGTGATTGATCCAAATCAATCGGAAGTCCCCTAATCAATCGCAAGTTTGCATTCCCCTATCTCTTATTTACATAGTTGAGAATAATATCAACTCTTTATATCCGATGAAATGATGTCCCAAGTCTTTTTCTTCTGTAGGGAGCATCTCGTAATATGAAGTACTTATAAAATCTAATTAACCTTCAAATGCAGTCTGAAAAATGCCTCTTCACAACTCTCAACCAATCAGTACAAAAAACATGTTGCCAATGGGATACCTGTTTAAGGTAGATGCTCTTCCCGCTTGCATTGGGACCAGTAATGACCTTGATCCTGGTATGGTCCCCTCCAAAGTGTGCATTATTAGGTACAAAGGGGGTGACACACAGCTCCTGTAGAGGGTGACGTCCCCCTATGATGTCCAACTGACTGCCGTGGGTGAGCTCAGGCCGGATGTAGTTGCCTTCCTTGGCAGCTATGGCAATAGCTATCAAACTAGGAAATATTATTGTAAGACATTAAAAAATTGATCAATTAGACTGAGAATATGTCTTATTAAGCTGTCACGGTTCTAGAGAGATTTGAGGGTTTCAAGCCCCCCCCCCCCCCACAAAAAAAAATATATATTTAAAAAACACATGAGGCACATATAGAAAATGAATGAAAGAACCCTTCAAAACCCACCAAAAATAAAATATTCTTCTAGAAATGCTCCTAGTCATAAGCACTTTTAATGAACATTGTGTAGTAAAAAATTGTACATCATCACTTAATAGAAATGTTCATACATCATAATCACAACTACACATGTACCCCATGGGGGATGTTGCAAGTACAACTTTTTAGAACTGTTGTTGACAAATATTTTCTGACTGAGGATCTTTATTCTCAATGGCAGAATCTACTTTTCAAAATGGTATTAATGGAAATTAAATTATCATCAATAGATATGTGAAGTTATGGAAAAGGTTAAGGGAAAAGAAGACCTGTGATCTTAAGCTACGGTCACAACCACAAAAAGTAGCCTGCTCGGCGGCAAGTTTTTATCCAATTTTGCACCAAGCGGCGGCACAAACACCACTTGTTTTTAGAGCATCACTCGGTCGCCGCTGAAGTTTTAGCGCAGAGTTAAAATTTGGGCAGCGTCTGCTCAGAGTCGCCGCCAGGGCACCGACCTAATTGAGCGATTTAGGTCAAAGGCTGCTGAGCGGTCACCGCCCGGTCGCTGCTGGGAGATCAGTCGGTCACTGGGCGGCGAGTTCAAAATCGGTCGGTGTCCATGCAGGGCCAGCTCAGCAGCCTTTGACCTAGCGGCTATAATTTTTTACCTAAATCGCTCGACGGCGAACGCTCAATTAGGTCAATGACCAGGCGGCAACCGCCCGGGCACAGAGCATATATTTTGGCCTACGAGACACCTGCAGATGCCCCGCCGATCAGCAGCCGGCCGCCGGGACGTTCTTTAAAATCAGCCGGTGGCCGGTGGGAGGCCGCCGAGGAATCGGTGGGTCATCAGTCGGTCACTCCTAGGACGCGGCGCAGAGAAGCTCCCAGATTTTGCCCATTTTATACCTAAAGTTGACCGGGGACCAACGGGAAATCGACAGGGCACCGCTGAGGCTATACAGCCTGCTCGACTTCTCCAAACATCGTTGGGCGATGCCTAAATTCCAGCGGCGACCTAGCAGGCTACAAATCGGTCGGTTGCCGCTCTGAGTTGTGACCATAGCTAAAGAAGGATAACATTTTGTAGAATGACCGTTACATACCAGTCTAGTTCAGCAGCATAGTCCATGATGGCATAGAAGACCTGTGATCTTAGAAGGATATCATTCTGCAGCTGGTGCATGATCTGTGTCTCATGGTCTGTGATGTCACAATGGGTATCACCTAGCTTCACATCAAGGGCTGATCAAGAGAAAAGGACACTGATTGATTGATGTACATATCCCAAAATTATTATTGAAAAACAAAGCTTAAGCACACATGACATATGTAACAAAGTCCTACGGTAAATATGAGACCAAACAAAAGGGCTTACATTCAGTCAAACCTGTCTACAGCGACCGCCCAAGGGAACACACAAAAAGTGGTCTTTGTAGACAGGTGGTCACTAAAGCAGGTTTGACTGTATACTGTAAACGCTGTTATTTTAACGCTGTTATTTTTGCACAATTTTTTTTTTGCGCTGAGCGACCCACCACATATTCTAGTTCTTGAATTCATTTTGCACCAAATTCAGCCTGTTCAGAACATGAATAAGAAGTTTAGTTTATAGAAGTTGATATTTGTATTATGTAATCTCTCCTGTCTAGGCAATATGCAGTTCTTTTCATCTTCATTATGTGTACAAGAAATTGCTTAACCCCACCATAATGAAACTGAAACAGGACACCAGCAGTATGGTTGACATGTTTCTTTTTAAATCACAGGCGATTATAATAATTTTCAATCAACGTTTTCATTTAATTTTTCTTCATACCTCTTGTTCTAGCACTCTTGTAATGAACAGTGTTGTTGGACATGAACTGTGATAAAAAGAAATTGAAAAACAGGAAAAAGAAAAGTCAGTGACATTTAAGCTCCAAATGATGACCATTTGACATTCTTCTGTAATTGTTTGAAAAATGTGTATTTTCATAAACTTCATAAATAACTTAATAGCTATAAGTCTATTACTGTCTATAAGTATATAAGTGTTCATTATTCATTAACATCTTCTGAATATAGCTAAGTTTTCACTATTCATTTACATCTTCTGAAGATGAGTTAGTATTCATTTACATCTTATGAAGATGAGTTAGTATTCATTTACATCTCATGAAGATGAGTTAGTATTCATTTACATCTCATGAAGATGAGTTAGTATTCATTTACATCTTTTGAAGATGAATTAGTATTCATTTACATCTCATGAAGATGAGTTGGTATTCATTTACATCTTCTGAAGATGAGTTGGTATTCATTTACATCTTATGAAGATGAGTTAGTATTCATTTACATCTTATGAAGATGAGTTAGTATTCATTTACATCTCATGAAGATGAGTTAGTATTCATTTACATCTTCTGAAGATGAGTTAGTATTCATTTACATCTCATGAAGATGAGTTAGTATTCATTTACATCTCATGAAGATGAGTTGGTATTCATTTACATCTTTTGAAGATGAATTAGTATTCATTTACATCTTTTGAAGATGAGTTAGTATTCATTTACATCTTCTGACGATGAGTTAGTATTCATTTACATCTTATGAAGATGAGTTAGTATTCATTTACATCTTATGAAGATGAGTTAGTATTCATTTACATCTTCTGAAGATGAATTAGTATTCATTTACATCTTCTGAAGATGAGTTAGTATTCATTTACATCTTATGAAGATGAGTTAGTATTCATTTACATCTTATAAAGATGAGTTAGTATTCATTTACATCTTATGAAGATGAGTTGGTATTCATTTACATCTTTTGAAGATGAATTAGTATTCATTTACATCTTCTGAAGATGAATTAGTATTCATTTACATCTTCTGAAGATGAGTTAGTATTCATTTACATCTCCTGAAGATGAATTAGTATTCATTTACATCTTCTGACGATGAGTTAGTATTCATTTACATCTTATGAAGATGAGTTAGTATTCATTTACATCTTATAAAGATGAGTTAGTATTCATTTACATCTTCTGAAGATGAATTAGTATTCATTTACATCTCATGAAGATGAGTTAGTATTCATTTACATCTTCTGAAGATGAGTTAGTATTCATTTACATCTCATGAAGATGAGTTAGTATTCATTTACATCTCATGAAGATGAGTTGGTATTCATTTACATCTTTTGAAGATGAATTAGTATTCATTTACATCTTTTGAAGATGAGTTAGTATTCATTTACATCTTCTGACGATGAGTTAGTATTCATTTACATCTTATGAAGATGAGTTAGTATTCATTTACATCTTATGAAGATGAGTTAGTATTCATTTACATCTTATAAAGATGAGTTAGTATTCATTTACATCTTCTGAAGATGAATTAGTATTCATTTACATCTTCTGAAGATGAGTTAGTATTCATTTACATCTTATGAAGATGAGTTAGTATTCATTTACATCTTATAAAGATGAGTTAGTATTCATTTACATCTTATGAAGATGAGTTGGTATTCATTTACATCTTCTGAAGATGAGTTAGTATTCATTTACATCTTCTGAAGATGAATTAGTATTCATTTACATCTTCTGACGATGAGTTAGTATTCATTTACATCTTATGAAGATGAGTTAGTATTCATTTACATCTTATAAAGATGAGTTAGTATTCATTTACATCTTCTGAAGATGAATTAGTATTCATTTACATCTTCTGAAGATGAGTTAGTATTCATTTACATCTTATGAAGATGAGTTAGTATTCATTTACATCTTATAAAGATGAGTTAGTATTCATTTACATCTCATGAAGATGAGTTAGTATTCATTTACATCTTATGAAGATGAGTTGGTATTCATTTACATCTTTTGAAGATGAATTAGTATTCATTTACATCTTCTGAAGATGAGTTAGTATTCATTTACATCTTCTGAAGATGAATTAGTATTCATTTACATCTTCTGACGATGAGTTAGTATTCATTTACATCTTATGAAGATGAGTTAGTATTCATTTACATCTTATAAAGATGAGTTAGTATTCATTTACATCTTCTGAAGATGAATTAGTATTCATTTACATCTTCTGAAGATGAGTTAGTATTCATTTACATCTTATGAAGATGAGTTAGTATTCATTTACATCTTATAAAGATGAGTTAGTATTCATTTACATCTTCTGAAGATGAGTTAGTATTCATTTACATCTTATGAAGATGAGTTAGTATTCATTTACATATCCTGAAGATGAGTTAGTATTCATTTACATCTTTTGAAGATGAGTTAGTATTCATTTACATCTTATGAAGATGAGTTAGTATTCAATTACATCTTCTGAAGATGAGTTAGTATTCATTTACATCTTATGAAGATGAGTTAGTATTCAATTGCATCTTCTGAAGATGAGTTAGTATTCATTTACATCTTATGAAGATGAGTTAGTATTCATTTACATCTTATGAAAATGAGTTAGTATTCATTTACATCTTATGAAGATGAGTTAGTATTCAATTACATCTTCTGAAGATGAGTTAGTATTCATTTACATCTAATGAAGATGAGTTAGTATTCATTTACATCTTATGAAAATGAGTTAGTATTCATTTACATCTTCAGAAGATAGCTAAGTGGGACATTACATCGTCTAAAGATATATTTCATTAAAAAACACATTTCATTGTTATTATCATTATAATTCATATTAATATTATTATCATAACTACTATTATATAAATTATCATTATTATTATTGTTCATAGTATTATCATCCATCATTTTTTTTTTACTAGTATTGTCTTACCATAAATTGTAAGCCCTCGATTGTGAAGTCCTTGGTTTCTGTCATGTGTTGGGTGCATGGTAAGGCCAACAAATACCCAAGCTGTTGAATAATAAAGAAGACATTGTACTTACATTCATAAACTGAATATAATCATAGGTGGATATCTACATCACCATACAAGCCGTAACTTATAAGCAGCATCTAAGGCTCTATTCATTGGGGGTACATTGGTAACTCTAGTAATTATTAATCTAGATCTGTGCTGTCCTGAACACCTTGGTTTAATGGCTACAAACATTTTCAGACCGCAAATGCCTACAAAGTGCATGGTTATTGCATTTGTTCTTATCTTTGACATTTCTAGTGCCCTTTTAGAACCTAATTTTAGACCCCAAAATGTGTGAAATTTAGCCAATACCATCATACCAATTCAGCTCCACTTTCCAAAAAAAATGCTGATCGTTACTTTATTATTTAATTACAAATAACAATACAAACGTAAAAGGCGCTATTTCGTTTTTTCAACAGCTTTTTCAACAGCTTTTTCAACAGCTTTTTCAAATTATTTAATATTTGTGGTGGTACACAAGTATTAGAAATCATTATATTTATGGATATTTCAGCTGTCTCTTAACCGATTTTGATCAAACAAAGATGATTTTGTAATTTAAATTGAATGTTCTTTCAAATTTGACACTCACTTTATCTCACAAAAAAAATAATTGTGAAGCGCCCTCTGCAACAGAATTATCCCTTTAAAGTGCACTAATCACAGAAATACTGTTCTCCCTGAAGGCCCTGCAATTGCGCTAAATTCCTATACTTGCCCTACAGCGGATGTGGGAACATTCTTAATCATAAGGTTTAAATAAGAAACTATCTTTCAAACTATCTACCTGAGGTACATATATGATAGAACACTCTTCTATGTGTGGTCCAAGTCTATCAAGCTCTTCTCTGGCTACAGTTGTCATCAAGCTCGGTAGAGTGCTGTAGGTACGCTTTCCTAGTTCAAGCAGCAATCAACAAAACATGATTTAAATTAGAAGAATTACTAACATTAGAGAAGCATGATGAAAGATCGCCATGAATTGAAAATATGAACTCAATAATATTGCAGTTGTAAACAATATGATGGAGCCTTCGTTATTCCCAAGTTCTTCATGCAAAAAAAAGTTTTAAACGTATATCTCAATGCAACCTTTGGCCAAATGAAAAGGATGGAGTGGAATTTGCTTCTCTAAAAAGAAAAGGAAAAAAGATGCCCCCCAGCCATGACAGTACGTGTAAATCACAATAAATCACAATAATTGATGAATATATATTTTTGGTAAAAGTATTTTAGTTAAATTTGTTTTGGGGTACAAAATTCTCTTCGTGTCCCATCTGAAAACACAAACTCTGGAAAAATGGGAGAAACTGAAACAACTTTGGAAGAGCCAATGAGCTTGGCCATTGCAATTTGATTCAAATCAAACATGCATTAACTCGAGCAAAATGGAAAGGATTTAACAATAAATGTTAATTATTATATGTACAGTATGTCAACTCTTCATTTGTTACAGAACCTTGTTAATTTTTTCCCAATGTTGCCTTCATTGCTTCACAACAAATTAACAAACATGCACGTGTAATGTGCAGATTTTACAAGTGCTTTAACCAGATATTGCACAAGCTGCGCCTTGAGCATTTGACTGTCAAGTGGATTTGGCGCCTTATAAATCTTATGTATTATTATTATTATTATTATAATGAAAATCAAATAACCACGTATCTATCTAGCTAAAAATGAAATCAGAAATAAAATCCCAATCACATTCAAACTGTAATGTGATTAGATATAAACTTACTTTGATCGAGTTCCTCATCTACATGTGGCTTCACAATGAAACGGTTCTGGGCAAACGATTCTTCAAAGTCCACCTTCAAATGCAAGATGACAAACAGATAAGGAGAATATTAATAACATTCACAAAAACAAACCTTAGAACTTACTTTTTCCTTAATTTATTGATTTATTTCTTCAGTATTCTTTATAAAGGGTACTCTATCAGGAGGGGGGGGGGGTTAAAAATCATTAAAAAATCCAAAGCATATTCAACTGCCATTTCACATTAAGAATTCATTGAGAAAGTCTTTTTCCAGAAAGTTTAAAGTTTCTGGAAACTTTAACAAAGTTAAAGCAAGGATGAATTCATTGTTAATACTAGAGAAATCTGACAGATTTCATTATCTTGTCATGACAATTATTTCAATTCATTTTGAGCTATCATACACACCACCACAAAGAGGGTGCAATCATGACAGATATTTTATGATTGGCTTTTCTTTGTGAACAAAGATTTAGGAAGGTAATACTCAGTTTGTCCAAGCTTATGACTGGCCCCAGACTGACAACTGCCAGAATGGAAAATGAATTTTGCCCCATATGGCCCAAAATTGGTCAGTTTCAGTGGAGTTGGTTTGGAAACAATTTGGGGTTGTGACTGTGTATACTTACCAGCTGACTGATGGCTGCAGCAACTTGGTGGATATCATCAGTGAAGGCTTCTGTGATCTGAGGAATAAACAATAAATTCATTTCAAACAAAAATAAACAAGGGCATCCACATCCATTAACTTATCTAATCTGACGCCTTTTTTTGCATGAATTTTTTTTCATCTAACATATGTCTGCAAATTTGGTCAAACATCCCTGTCTCCCCCTTCAAATTATTTGCTGCTAGTCGAAAGGCTGCTAAGTACTGCATTGACAAGTCATAGCTCTTACGGCCATTTTTGGGGAAGTTGACAAAATGATCTAGCCCCATCCCTTGACACACAGCACATGTCCATTAAAAACTGATCTCAACTAGTTGTTTTTTGCTACTGGGCTAAATCCTACCTTCTTGAAAATGGGTACATCAGCTCTCTGTGCTCGACATATCTCAGCAATATTGATGGCATTGTAGGCTGTCTGTACAGGGGAAAATAAGAGTTATTCATATTTGATTTGGTGTCTGTAAAAAAAAAAAAAATTTCTATCATCATCATTATCAGTAGTAGAAGTAGTAGTGGTAATAGCAGTAGGAGTAGGAGTAGGAGTAGTAGTAGTAGTAGTAGTAGTAGTAGTAGTAGTAGTAGTAGAAGCAGTAGAAGTAGTAGCAGCAGCAGCAGCAGCAGTAGTAGCAATATTACTGTAATTATCATAATCATTATCATTATTAATATTATTACTATTATTAATAATATTAAAAATGATTCTTTTAAAGACCGTCAATACTACTGGGCCAGAAGGGATTAGACCACACAGCGAGGTCACTGACAGGTGGCTATCTCATTAACTCAGCTCTCAACTAACATAAAAAAAGAGGATCGTGGGGGACCAACATGCACCGATTGGGGAAGTTTTCTATATAGAGGGAGCAAGTAGCTACAAGTAGGACAGTGGGGCTTTAATATTAATCCTTTTATTATCATGATCAATATCATCTAATCCTGGATACATGAGCAGTCCTTTACCTTGTAGAGGGACTGCCAGTCTGTCATGGAGGCTTGTGCTTGCTGCATCTGCTTGAAGATTCTCTGGAAAAAAAATCAAGACAAAAATTTAACTCATTGAGAACTTTTTTTTAATTTTTTAAACCGAACATGTGATGTAAGATCATATTCAACAAAGGAAGAAATAGACCTCAATCTAACAACCTTTAATTTACCAAGTTTTAGACAAAAGCTTAAGCTGTGCATCGGTATCCAATTTCATTGGAATAGGGGCCATTGGCTCTGATACGGGAGCAAACTGGTTTGTAATGTTTTGGGGATGGGAGTTAAATTACTTAATTAAACAAAGATCTTTTTATTTTCATGCAGTAGTACATGTATAGCTCCACAAATGGACATTGAACATACAATTCTAATGACTGCATGATCAAATGTTAATATACAATATTGAAGAACAAAAATACAAATACTCTCAGGGCCAACTAATCCTGTCGAAAGTACGTGTGGTGTTACCACGAACCCCAATCAAATCTATCCTCACCATGGAAGCCTTCAAAGATTAATCTAGTATATACAGTATAGTTAAACAGACAGTAATAATCAGTGCAAGGAATGTCTATAAAACACCAAAATGTGACTTCTGGATTTGACAGTTTAATCATCTTAGTCACTGTTTAGCTTGCTGAAACAGATCATCAATTTGAAAAAAATCTTGCAAAATAGAAAATAATGAAGTATATTTACACAGATAAAAAAATATAACACTAGGAGTAAAGTAAAGGCATCCTTGGTGTGCAACTTTTGGTCAAATATAAAGAACAAGACAGAAGTGGATGCGTTTTGGAGAAAACTGAACACATGTATACTTTCTTGCTTTGCCACCTACCGGAACATTCTTAACATTCTTGAGGCAATTCTGAAGTGACCCGGTGACCTCAGCGTTCTTTGGATTCAAGAAGAAAGAAACCGCTTCCTGGCGCTCTCGAAGAAGGTCCAGATTACGAGAAGGTCGCAAGAACCATAGTCTGTAAACATATATCAGAGCAAACATGAAGCTTCATTAACAATAACATTTTTGATAGCAGCAAACCTTTACTTGATTAACTATTATAAATTTGAAATAAAGACTTAATTAATTTTGTATTTATGTACAATGATATAAAATTGTAAAATATATAAACAAAATTCAGACATTTACAAAATCGATGAGAAAAAGTGATGAAATATCAAAATTCTAAAATTGATTATCTATAACTGATTTATGAAATTAAAAAACATGAGTTTATTGCTCTATCTTCCAAAACGAAACAGCACCACCTCTTGTTAAAAATAGTACAGTCACTCTCCTGATTTCTATATAACGTAAGAAGTGAAGAAAACCCATGAGTGGATTTACCTGACTTCACGTACATAGCATATCTGTCAAAGCACCGACAACAATTATCATTCTGCAATCAAATATTAATATCAAGACGTTTATTGTTCATTCAACCTACAAGTATTATAGAAAATGCTTCTTTTTAAATCTCACTGATACATACGTGTATTAGATCACAATGAGATTTTTAAAAAAGAATAACATTTCATCATGTATTAGTTTTGAATCACCCCATCTTTTGTCCAAAGTCATGCAGGAGAACTCTGGCTGAAAAAAGTTTGCAATGCAGAATGACGGAGGAGTACAATGACATGTACAGAACACTACCTTTAAACGTTTGTTTGTATTACCTGACTGCTAAGAAAGCATGTATATGCTTGTAAGTATATAAGCAATTATAACAAAGATATAATTACTAAGAATAAATTGTAATGTTTTAGCTAAACAAGTATCCTAAGATCTACTCCCTGTCAGCAAATATCACAGAAAATCTCAATTGCAGATTCCAGCTGATTGTTTTACCAAGAGGGCATAAAAAGCTACAGGGCTTCAATCTTGTACCAAATTTTGGATGAAATTTCTTGTTTTCTTTTGGAACATTAAAATAGGTCTTAAAAATTCATGGTTAATATCAGCTGAAAACTTTTACAAACTTCTTCCAATGCATCCAATGAGGGTATTTTTGTCTTTTGATACAAAATTGATTTTCTTTTGATTTTTTTTTAACTTGTTCTACATTATATTTGTTTATATAAATCTATTGTCAAACTGACCAAGTACATTTGTGATCTCACCAAAGAAGGATTAATATTTCCATTTATTACAATAAAAAATATTTGTTTGTTTATGTTTTTTTGGTGTACACCACAAAGCATTGAATGGATGGAGGCTAATGAAATAAAATGCACAGAAGCAGTGAGTGAATGAGCTCTGAAAAACAGAGAGCCCTGGACAACAAATGAGGAGCTCGGCTAATTAAAGTTAAACAAAAATAATAATAATTAAACAAAATCACAATTTAACAAAATAACAAATGAACAAATGAGCAAATGAACAAAATAACAAATGAAATAGATAAAAGTCAACACGCTGAAATATAATTTGTTCTGTAAGTCCACAAAGAACTTTGTAAGTAAACAAAATGTGCATTTTCAAACTCTAATAAAACCAATTCATAATTCATTTGGGTCTGGAGATGAAGTCTAAAGAGACGGAGGTAGGGGAGGAAGGGTAATTTTTGGCAGCATGAGCCAGCAAGGGGGATATCCACTCACCCCTGGTCCCAGTCATTAAAAACGGGGGAAGTACACTAATGAATGAAGCATGACTCACCTCAAAGAGTCATTCTAGCTGCGTGTTAAGACGCAAGACGCGGTACGTGACAAAGAAAGGGAAGAAATTAAATGAGGTGACTTGAGTCAGCCTTCTTGCATGGGCCTCCCCGGCTCAACTCTATCAAATTCTATGGATGACTTTATTTTTATTTTTTATTGATTAGCCATGCATATGACTCTTCTATAGATTTTTGCATATGGTCAAGTATTAACTTTTTCTTTTCTTCATATATCAAAAAAGTTTTGTTTTACCATCTTTTTTTCTTCATTTTGTTTACTTTTGGTGAATTTCTAGTCCTGTAAAAGGAAAAAGGTAATTGTATTTGAAACAATTGCCAAGTGGTTTTTAATGAGGATATTAGAACAACTGTTTTCAGTTGAAAACCAGTTGTCAATGAGTTCCAGTGAAAACTAATAAGCCAGATTGTTTTTACAATGGAGAAATTGAATCTACTAGTTCCTGGAAAAAAATTTCTATTCAAAACAATTCAGTGGGATTATGAAATTATTTGACCCACACATTTCCTGCGGAAAAAAAGGTACAATAAGAAAGAATCAATTAGTTCAACAGAATCTAGAAAAGAAAAAGAGGAACAACAGTCACCCACCCCCCCCCCCACACACACAGCCACACCCATACACCCATGATTACCACCCCATGTAAGTTAGCAAAGCCTTAGGCTTCTCTAATACCCTGTGGGTGGGTGAGTGAGTGGGTTGGGACAAGTTTAATCATTCTTGATGTTCTCTTTCATTGAAAAAATTCACAAGAAAATTAAATATACATGCACATGCACAGGTACCAACATATTCAACTGTGAACTCAACTTTTGAAGGTTAAAAAAAAAAAGTATTTAAACCTAGCACAATCACCTATGCACTTTGGAAAACAGTTAAGAACTTTAAGTGATTGGTTTGATAGTAAGTCAGTAAGCAAATGAATACAATTCCTAGACATTAAAAAGGGAAGTTTTATTACCCCCAAAATAATGATTATGAAATCAAAACTAACAATAAACGTTTAAACTTTTAAAACAGCAAAGAAACATCATACCGGTAAGTTAATCATGAAATTCATGATTAAAAGAAAGTAACTAAACTTTACCTCATAAGCCTACTGCCAATGACTGATCTCGTTCTGTTCAAGACCCCTAAACATTGCAATAATTCATTAGCAAATAGGTGAAATATAATTCTATGATCAACATATCACAAGTTCATTATGAATTAAGTTCATCTTTTAACTCTTGTTTTAAAGAAAACTTTCTTTCAACTTTCCCAGTTAAACAAAAATGGACAGAAGACCAATCAATGATATACATGTAGATGTTAAAATAATCTAAACTTAATCTGTAATTATTATTTGATAGATATATCTATAACTATAAATTTTCTCTCTTCTGTCTAATATTATTTGTTAATTTCTTATAAATACTTTTTTTTCAGGGTCACTATTTCATTAAATCCTTAACAGTAAACCTACTTGTACCAATCGGTCCTTAATTACAAATTACAAAGTAGAATAAAGGAAACTATGACAAACTTAAGATAATGCTGATGTTAGAAATTATGATTTTGCATTCAATAATGGAAATGATGATGATGGAGATGACGGAAGTTATAGTTATACAGTTGATGATTAAGTATGATCCTATTAATAAAAAAAAGAGCAATAAATTCCAATAAAGTTGTCTTTGTTATGGGGCCCTGATGAGAGAAGGATTGGATGGAGGGAACAAAATCTTAAATACATACAAAAAGTAAGAGAGGATAACAAATCTACCAATCATATTAGATACTAGATGCTAAATAACTTGAAACCTACCAAATAGACTTAGTCCCTCCTTAGCGCCACTGCCACCAGATTTATAGACGGATGGATGACTCTCCTTCTGAAAGATCTGAAGACTGCTGTATGTATTGACATCAATGCTTACCATATCTGACCTGAGATAAGGAGAGAGAGAGAGAGAGAGAGAGAGAGAGAGAGAGAGAAAGATAGAGGGAGAGAGAGACAGACAGAGGGAGAGATAGAGGGAGAGAGAGAGAGAGAGAGAGAGTAAGAGAGAGGGAGAGAGAGAGAGAGAAATGAGAGAGCGGGAGAAGACAGAACATAGATGAAAAAGAAAGAGAACAAAGAGGTAAAAGGAAGAGAGAAAGATTTACGAGAAAGAGAGAGAGAGAGAGAGAGAGAGAGATAGGGGAGCAAGGGAGAAAGAGAGAGAGAGAGGGGGAGAGAGAGAGAGAGAGCGAGAGAGAGGAGAGAGAGAGAGAGGAGAGAGAGAGAGAGGGGAGAGAGAAAGCGGGAGAAGAGAGGACAAAGATGAAAAAGAAAGAGAACAAAGAGGTAAAAGGAAGAGAGAAAGATTTACGAGAAAGAGAGAAAGAGATAGGGGAGAAAGGGCGAGAGAGAAAGAGGGAGGGAGAGAGAGAAAGGGGAGGGAGAGAGAGAGAAAGGAAGGAGAGAAAGAGATAGAGAGAGAGAGAGAGAGGTGGGGGTAGAGAAAAGAGAACATAGAGGTAAAAGGAAGAGAGAAAGATTACAAGAAAGAGGAGAGATAGAAAAAGAGAGGGGTGAGAGAGAAGAGTGAGAGAGAAGAGATAGGTAGGAAGTAAAATATGCATGGTTTCAAATATAAAGGTTATTAAAAAGACCAACAGAATGAAGAACATAACAATTTTGACAATTTCAAAAGAACTAGACAGCTTTTTTCTTGTTTACAGCTCATACCACGGACTTTGCACTAACACTACCCCCAGTGGGGTGAACTTTATAGGGGTCTTCCCCTTACAAAGTGATGAAAGGGTAAAAAGGCAGATGACTCTGATTCAAGAAATTGAGAGGGAGGGGGCAAATACAAATTCTGACATTAGATACAGACGTTTACTTTCTCAATCTGTTAACAAGTCAACAATAAATGTTAAGAAAGACAGGAGGATATGATTGTGATGGTATTGTCTGTTTGGAGGTAGAAGGGGGGTAGCTTGTATACTTTTAACACATAGTTAACACCCTTCTGGCTCTCTGCAGAGGTTACATGTTTGGCAGGGAGCTCCTCTTGGTCTCAGTAGGGACTTCCCTTCATATTTGAGTGGTGATGATGAATGACAGCTAGGAAATGATCCATAACATGGGTTCTTCTCATCTCTCTCAGGCCTGTCGATCAGGCCCTCGGCCAACCCTTGCAGAGAGACGGGGGAGAAGTTTTCTTTGATTTTAGTGATGGCATCAATGATATGACAATTGATGGGTGGGTGATCATGAGAGAAGAGGAGGAATAGAAAAGGAGGAAGGAGAGGTAGGGAGAGAGTGAGGGAGAGAGTGGGAAGCGGGAGTAGGGGAGAGAGTGGGGGAGAGAGGGGAAGAAAGAAGAGGGGAAGAAAGAAGAGGGGAGAAGGCAGGGGGTGTAGAGAGTGGGAGGGATTGTGGAAGAGAGAGTGGGATAGAGAGTAGGAGGAAGGGAAAATGAAAACTTGCAAGAGATGAGGTATCACATAGCAGGAGAGATGGAGAGAGGCGGGATGGGGGTATACATCTACATGTAGGGGAAAAAGATGAGATGCAAGAACATTCCAAGGACCTCAGCATTAAGAGATCCTATCTTTAAACCTTTTTTTAAAGATCTGTTCTGATCTTACTAAATGTCATTGATAAAGAACAATAGACAGTAATGCTAAAGGCTAAAGGCAAAAGTGGGAGGTCAAGAGTGAAGAAGTGCATGAGAGATAGGGAACAAGATGAGAGAAGAGAGATAAGACAGAGGTATGAGATGGGGAGAAGAGATGGGACAGATATGATGATTCAGGGCAGATTACAATGACAAAGATGAAGAGAGCAAGACATGAAGGAAGAGAGAGTGAGAGAGAGAGAGAGAGAGAGAGAGAGAGAGAGAGAGAATGAGATATAGGGATACAGACAAGAGAAGAGGGATATGACAGAGGTATACATGAGATGGAGAGAAGAGATTGGACAGATATGATTTAGGGCAGATTACAATGATAGAGATGAAGAGAACAAGCCGTGAGCGAAGGAAGAGGTAGAGAGAAGTGTGAACAGAGTGAATGAGATATAGGGAACAAGAGGAGAGAAGAGAGATGTGACAGAGGTATACATGAGATGGAGAGAAAAGATGGGACAGATTACAATGTCAGAGATGAAGAGAGCAAGACTTGAAGGAAGAGAGAGAGAGAGAGAGAGAAGTGTGAAAAGAGTGAATGAGATATAGGGATAAAGACGACACAAGAGAGATGTGACAGAGGTAGACATGATTCAGGGCAGATTACAATGACAGATCGAGATGAATAGAACAAGACTTGAAGGAAGAGATAGAGAGAAGGGGTATGCAAAGAAACAGTGTTTGGGAGAGATGGGCATGAAGAGAAATAGATAAATGAGGCTGATTAAGGAATGAACTGACATAAGAGTGTGTGTTTTTAAATGATGATAATAATAAGTCAGAAAGATGGGAAGAAAGAGAAATAAAAAAAGAGGCATGAGTTTGTAAAAGTTCTGAAAAGGTAAATCAAAAGTAATAAACGGCCGATGTTGAGTAGAGAAAGATAAAGAGTAACAGAAAAAAAGAGAAAAGGAGAATGAATATGAATAAAAGAAAATAAATATATGCAGAGCGAAGGGGGAAGAGAGAGAGAGAGAGGGAGGGAGAGAAGGAACAAGAGATGCACATATGGAGACACTGAGAGAGACAGAAAGACGGAGATGAAGATGGAAAGAGGAAGTCCATCCACGCTGGAGCAAAATGGGTTATTGATGAGGAGCATGCAAGCTGAGCCAACATCCCAACGGGGATTCCCTCTCATATCCCCTCAATCGTGTTGAGTGACAACGCGGAAATGATTTATAACGGATTCCTACCATCTCACGGAACCCAGCGACCCTTACTACAAAGGAGACAAAAAAAGTAGAAAAAACTAGCACAAATTTCTGAATGAAATTACCGCCAGTAATCTCCTCCGCACGCTACACTCTTTCCTCTTGGCTTTCGAGTCACACTAACTTGGCCAAAATAAAATGCTGCCCTCGTATCCCACCCTGCCTCCTTTCCTCGTCCGTCAGTCACTCATTGAGTCACGCTATCCATCTCTAGGGTTCATGACCTTGGCTGGTTGAATGGGAGTTATCTGCTGAGAGCCAGAAGGGCATTAATGCAAATTCCTTAAAAAAATACTAATGGTGTACCAAGATTCTTTTGATAATTTGCGGTAATCTCTTCATTTGCTTTAATTCTTACTAAAAACACCCTTCCCACTAAAAAAAACTGTCTGAAATGCCCCCATGTATGAATAATATGTGTTTAAAGGCCTACATTAACTACACTTATACAATTTTCTGCATTATTTATTCATAAAAAGTCATTAAAAGTGTTACTTCTATACAAAGATTACAAAGCTCTTACATAGCAAGAGGTCCGTCTATATTCAAAGCAAAGAAAGTGTACATGTATCAAAGTACAGGATTTGTGCTTCTTAATAATGCACTCAAGTTTATATTGATTGTGTCTAAATAAAAAGAAATATTCAATGCCACTACAACAAATCAGGAAATGGGAAACCTCTGTTGAGGCAGAGGTTTTTGTTCTTCTGCTCTCAATGAAACTTAGTTTAAATGAGTCTGGAGTAAGAAGAATACCCCTTTTATGGAGAGAGGTGGAGAAAGAAGAAAGGGACAGTAAGGAGGGAGTGATGAAAAAGTGAACGAAAAGAGAAATAATGACAAAGACATTAAGGGAGATGGAGAGAGGGGATGATGAAAAACTGAAAGAGAAGAGAAGAGAAAGAAAAGAAAGAAAGAAACGGAGATTGGGAGAGATAGAGTGATAGAGAGAGAGAAAAAGAAATGGAGAAATGGAGAAAGAGAGAAAGAGAGAGAAAGAGAGAGAGAGAGAAAGAGAGAGAGAGAGAGAGAAAGAGAGAGGGGAGGGAAGGTGGAAGAGAGAGAGAGGGACATAGAAAGATAGAGATAAATAGGGAGAAAGAAAAATAGAGAGAGAGAGAGAGAGATGGAGGGAGGAAGAGGGAAGACAGAGAGAGAGAGAGGGAGAGAGATAGGGGGAGAGAGATAGGGGAGAGAGAGAGAGGAGACTACAGTCGACATGCATGCATAGCCGTCACAATAAATCTTATTGTCACCTCAAGGATGGAGTAATAACTACTTTCATCTTGAAGGACAGGTAATCAGGATGGCTCCTAAACTCCCCCAATCAGATCAAGATGTGAACACATTAAGGGTAACCTGGAGGCAAAGACATAATAGCAAATAGAAATACCCCCTAGACTTTAGATCCTCATCAAATGATTGGCCGACTGCCCATCAATCATCTGCCGTTTCAAAATCTACATCATCAGAGGTTTGGAACTAGCCATTTCTTACAGATTGTTCAAATATAATGAGAAACAAAACCAGAAGTTTTTTTAAACCAACAAAGCTTAAAAATAAAGCACGGCAACAAAATAGAGCGGTCATTTACATGTAAACTTTTATCTGTAGGAGATAGAGGGACTTGGTAAATGCATGTAGGGACGATTTTGGAAACTTAATAATCTTATGTTAGAGACCAAACCAGCATAGTGCCCCTTAAACGCATGAATAACCATTCTACATTACCTACATGAGGTCCCTCTGATACGATTGAGAGACTGGAGTCCACAAGAGATTAATACAAGAATAATACTTGCCTCCTTAGCACTACAGTAAAACTGTGACTGAACCTAATACTAACAAAAACAGTTGGATTTAAACATTGCTTTTTTCCAAGGATACAAAGTCACAAATACTTTCTTACACCATCTTTAGTCCCAACAAGTTTATGTTATCATTAAAAGCATCTTCAATTCGGATGTGCTGTGAACTTAATTTCCCTGATAAGGTGTATGTTTCAATGAAGATCTTGGATAGTGAGACACACAAATTAAAGGTAAAGACCAGTATTGGAAACGCCCCAATTTCAAAAAATGAAATGGAAGCTCTCATTACCAATCATGTGAAAGAATATGTTTTGACTATTAAATGATAATAAAAATTTGCCGGGAAACCGCCTACTAATTCATATATTTGGTAAATTTGTTTCTCTCATGGTCTGTGAGAGATATAGGGTAGTCCCATATACATCTTTCTGTGTATAGTGCTTGTAACTTTACGAAGAATGGGCCAAATTTCTTATCATTTTGATGATTCCAGAACCTTGCAGATGCTAGCTGCTAGATGATCAACCTTTTCTGATCGATTCCACAACGTTTCTTTCACAATACAATCGCATGACCATAACTGGTCTTTACCTTTAACTATGCCATCCTTTCTTAAATGTAGCTAAAGAAAATTCTGTTATCATTTGGCGGTTTCTTGTGTACACAAAATAATGTTGTGTAGCTCTTACAAGCACTCAAGATAATCTTTACAATTTTTAGTCCATGTAGTTTGTGTATGTAAACAAACCACTTTCATTCAATAGTAAACAAAAATGTCAACCGAAAATGAAACAACGTTGATTGGTGTTGTTGCCACTTCCTTGTTTTTCACCTGCATGCACAAAAACAATCCTTTATAGAAACTAAAAGACAGCACATATAGAACAAAAAATTAAAATGGGTTTTTCCCGGTATTCCTAATCAAAGGACAACAAAGATCGATCAGTGTTTTTTTCCACTTCTTTTTTCTTCCTGTTATTGTTGTTGTTGTGACCTTCAACTTTTGACCCAATTTAAATGAAATTAATCATCACTATCACCAGAGTAGAAACATTTTTACCAAAAGCTATGCCGTTGACCATGCAACCCTGTGGTTTAAAATGAATAGCCAAAATTTCAGCAATAATAATAATAATAATAATACATGAGATTTATATAGCGCCACTATCCATTTTAATTAAATGCTCAAGGCGCTTCAAAATATTAGGGAACAGCTTACATCATGACAAAGAATCGTGTACATTAAAATAAGAAAGAAAATGCAAAAAATGAAAGAATGAATGAATGTCTGTCTTCAAAACGCGAAATTGAACAAATGGAACAAATAAAGACATCCCAGAGGATAATATATTCTATATTCTTAATATTCTATGTTTAACCCGATGACTACTGAATTCTCTAATTCCCATTGACATAACACAGGGATCAGCCGGTTCCAGTAAGCAGAGGGTTTATATATCATCTACTTTGAGTCATAAGGGCATTAACTCCCTATTATTTTACATAGTTATACGCCCTTTTGGTGCTCTGCATACGATACGTCAATACCAGAGCTGCCAACCTTGTGCGACCAAAAAAAGGAACCATGATGGCAAAAAAAGGAATTCATTAAATCGAAATTTACAACCACACATGACACACTTCCAGTGCAGAAATGTCCATTCCTCATGCTGTTTTTCCATACAAGCAGGTATTTTTTTAATCAGGTGGGCTGTATCTATACAGACCACCTTATAATTTTGTTAAAATTGCCTTTATTATTATTTATTTATTTTATTTCTAACCACTTTTTTGTTAACAAGATAACTTGAAAATGGCTAAATCAAATAACTTGAAATTTGGCACACATATGTATAGGCATATGGAGAAAACACGGTAAGGTTTAAAACCTTGACCTTGACTGATGACGTCATCTAGGCGCCATTTTGTGAAATTTTCTGAAAATTTACTCATGCTCATATTTTCATAACGGTAAATCATTTCTCATTCATATTTATCATGATCAAGGTCAATATCAGTCCGGTCAATTTCATGTCAAAAAACGCGCGCGTGCGCGTACGTCCGCGCGTTAGTGCGCGCGCAAAATTTTATAATGCTGAGAATCGTTTCAAATTTATTTTGCATACGTTTAAGGCCATTTTAAGCATTTTATAAAAAATCGCGCAAAAATCGCGCACACGTGCGTGCGCGCGCGTTTTCGCGCGTAACACCATTACAAAACATAGAATCGCCATTTTTTTCTTTCAAGATATTTTCCATATTTTTACAAACAAATTGATACCATGTTTATCTCTTTATGACTATTATTAACGGAATGAGCGTTCGCTTAACATAAATGTCCGTGCGCGCGAGCTCTTGTAATACATAACATACATGGGCAAAAACATGCCTATACACAATTCATTATAGCTCTTTGGGATGCACCTGGACCCCAATTCTGTTTTGATATTTGAAAAGAGTATGAGTCGGAGATATGATTTCATGTCTCATTTGGCCATTAAGTGTATCGTGACATCATCATAATGGCCTTGGAACTCAAAATACGAATTTGCATATTATGAAGTCAGCATATTTATGTAAAATTGATTGTATCTCTGTATATATTGATCGATTTTCTTCAAAATTTCGATATGTTGTAGCTAAGATAATTTTCTACAAGTTCAATAATAACCATTTTTCATTTTGATGACGTCATCAGAGTGAAAATTTCGATTAAAGGCCTCATGTCAGAAATTTCACAATTTGCGTATTATGACTATAGAAGGTGCATTTCGTTCACATCATTAATCTACATGACATTGTTTTTAGCAGTATCTCGCTTATTTTTGCTCTATTTTGTATCAAATTTTAGTTGACCAGCCCACCTATACTTGTTCCAAACAAGTATTATATGTCTAGTTTTGTTTTTGGTATTATCGGCATTTCATTCTTTTTGAGAATGTTTTTCTCTTCAGGTATGTTTTAAACTTAGTTTTCTATTGAATTTGTGATCAAATCAACATTTTGGGGCAGTTGTTTAACGTGCAGTATGTAAAAAAACAAAAGAGTATTTTTTGAAGAAAAAACGTAATACCGTAATTTGGAGGAAAAAACAGAGTAATTCCGGCAAACACGGAATGGTTGGCAGCTCTGCAATAGCATACAGTATATCAGAACCTTCCAAGGAATAATGCTTTCCATATTCTTAATTTCTACAAAATATATTAATTCCTAAGAGCTAGAAGGAGGTAATCCATATTTAAAACAATGTCCTTCTGACTGCCTCAGTATAAAAATAATAAATGTGTTATGGATATTCCTGACTCATCAGTTCCTAAAAACTGGAAGGAAACTTTGTTGGTGGTCAAGAATCATGCGGAAGTTTCACATGTTAAAAATAGTTTCTGCTCTGGGATTTTGAAAGAAAGATGAGAAGTTTGGAGTGATGATGTGATGATGGACTGTCAAGTGCATGTCTTAGTGATAAAGAGATAATTGAAAACAATCCATGCTCTACAAAATGTTGAACTTGGTGGAAGAAAAATTATCAAACGTGAACATCCCTCACGCAATTTTTCTTGTTTTCTTCAAACCATCCATAATTTTATCTTTCTTCTTTCCTTTCATAGCTCTGACATTTAAAGTGACACCCCCCACCCTCTCTATCTCTCTCCATCCGTGCCCTTTGATTTGTTCATGGAAGCGGTGACTCAATATAAGACCATCACCATACAAAGTAAAATGATTTTTAGGAAACAGTGGTGAGGTTGTGTAGAGGTCTGTATGAATGAGGAAGTTACAAAAGAACAAAAAAACATTGGATAATTATTTATTTCAGGCATTGGTTTTGACTCACTTTCCTATTAAAATATTGGGATGTACAGCAGGAAACAATGTTGGTGGTTGGGAGATTCAGGAAATGCGATGTGTCATAAACAAGGCACAGAATATGAAGGATATTTTTTGTCTCTAATTTCTCCACTTATGAATTTCTTTCTTTTTTTCTTCCGCTTTTTTCTAATCCTTATAGTACATATGGCCCCTTCCCCCTTCCTCCCACACCCCCCCCCCCCTCTCTCTCTCTCTCTATCTGTGTCTCTCTCTTTCTATGTCTTTCTCTCTCTCTCTCTCTCTCTATCTATCTGTGTCTCTCTCTTTATGTGTCTTTATCATTCTCTGTCTTTCTCTCTATCTGTGTCTCTCTCTTTATGTGTCTTTATCTTTCTCTGTCTTTCTCTCTATCTGTGTCTCTCTCGTTATGTGTCTTTATCTTTCTCTCTCTTTCTATCTGTCTTTCTCTCTTATCTGCTTCAGTCATTGGTTATTTGCCATCATGTTAAAAATGTCAATATAAATATATATATTTCTTATTGTTAGGAATAATAATAATAATAATAAAATGAATTTTTAACGCCCTTGAGCTGATTTTTTGAAAATCATTGCGATTGGCACATAACCTTTTTTCCCCCTGACTTACAAGGAAAATGTCTTGATGTTGAGGACCGGACTGGAAACATCAGATCGCTCTAACTCCACTCCAATCCTCTTCTTCTCCAGGAACTTCAGAAGTCCTCCGGTGGCACGGATCTACAAGGATGGAAATGAGTTGAGATTAATCACATATGAAGAAGAAAAAAAGACTGATTATTAAGTATTAGGCGTCCCCTATACCTGAGAGGGGAACAGCGAACAAAATCAATGTAACCCTCGGTATGACTGATTGGGGTGTGCAGGTGGATCACTACACTGGGGTTTCCCCCTACTCTTGTACGAATAGTGCAATGAGTTCCTTACATGCAAAGGTGGTGACTCTAGTACACAGGGCTTCCATTTAACGTCCTATCCGAGGGATGGAAAATGATAATTTCCTAGTTTTGACCATCAATTTCATGATAGTAATAATGTTCTGTGTATACCATTACCATTATTATTGAAAATTGCCAAGATGGATAAAACTATCACCACAATCATCAGTATCATCATCATCATCCTAGCCATCATCAGTGATAACTAACATCCTCAGTCTCATACTTATCGTCACATCAGGCAAAATAAATTACTTTAATGAATTATTGCTCTAAATTTGTGTGGGTAATACTTGATTATTAATATTACTACATAACAAAAATTACTCTAAAGTGATTGCTATATCACCTGACTAGCTCATTCAATGCGCTAGGTGGTAGCATTCATCTGGTATTTTGTGCATCCTCTTTTTCACATATATATAACCTTTATCATCTCACTCTCCCTGCACCCCCCCCCCCCAAACAAAAAGTTGGATCTTGTTTGGAGGAAAAGGAATAACGGGCATAAATAATAAATCTTTCGTCCTCGCTTTGAACAGGTTGACAAGCCACCCATAATCCTTGGCGAATCACTCAAAATTAGACATATCCTTGTTGAGCGCGCTGGAAACCACAGGGCGCTAATCGCTCAACGGGATCTAGCAACGGAGACCTTATCCTTTTACAAACTAGAAAGAAGATCGGTTTGCGGGATATCATCTTTTTGAAGTGATGAATCAACGCTATTGCACTGTCAATCACGCTATAAATTGCTTATTGGCTTTACACAGTTATAAACTAATAAGATTATTGTTTGTTTTTCTTTATCTTTTAATAAAATCAATTATTATTGGACTTCACCTTGGAATATGCAGACAGTGACATCAGATTTTCCTAAGAACTATTTCGGGTAAGACCTAGTCATATTTGATTCAGGAAATCTTTTATAAAGAGCATGATTATTTGAAAGTGAATGAGGTTTAGTAATTTTCGGAAAAAGAGCAAAAGATAAATCTAAGAATGTAAGATTCTTGTGTATTGCGTGAGAAGTGGTTTTAAAAATGTGAATGACATATACTTCTATCTCCTAAAGAAAAAAACACATCTTGCAGCATATTTCTTTCCCTTCTTCATTCCTTATGTTTCTATTCCCAATATTTTATTGATTAACCTGCTTTTTTCAAAACAATTTTTAATTCATTAAAAACATTACCTATTTAGTTGCAACTTCTATTCACAATCAATTCTCTCTTTCTTCTGTTTTTGTTTGCTCCCCCCCCCCCCCCGTATCTCTCCATTTCACCCCCCCCCCCCTCTCTCTCTCTCACCCTCCCTCTAACTATCTCCCATTCTCTCTCTCATTTCCACTTCATCTCTGTATCCCCCCCCCCCCCTCTCTCTCTCTCTCTCTTTCTCTCTCCTGCTTCTTCCAATTTTGTCTATCTCTATGCAATCATAACAGCAACAAAGGAAGACGTAAATCAGGTCTTCCTCTTTTAATATCTTCTGTCTTAGTGGGACCAGCTGTTCAGATTTCTAAGACTGAATCTTTTGCCAAAAAATTTCCTTTGAACCAACTCTTTTCCAGGGTTGCCGACATTTGCGTGTAAAATCCAATTAAATTGTGACATCTTATGGCAGGGTACTCAAACAAATAGGCAATATTAATTGAATGAATATGCCTCGTCTCTTGTTAACCTATAAATATTTATATATTTCTTGTCTCAATTTATTCCTGCTTGTATTTGTTTTCCATCCATCTCTCTCTTGCTTTCCTTTTTCTCTTTCCCTCTCTCTTGCTTTCCTTTTTCTCTTTCCCTTCATCTTTCCAGTTGTCTACATTTTTGTCTCTCTCACATCTGTTTTTTTCCTACCTCTGATGAGTTTCACATTCAGATGAATGAATCTTTCTTCAAAATTATTATCATCTCTTCTCTTTCCTTCTCTTTCCATTTGACATTTCAGAATTTTTTTAAAATCTGTTTATTTTGGAGAACAATACCAAGTTACATTTAATCAAAATCAAAATCTCCAAAAGGTTTAATTAATATAATCCTTTATTTTACTCACTTCATTTGTGATTTATCCTGTTTTTTTTTTTTTTTTGTGCCCCAAGAAGTAATCCCATACAAAACTAGAAAGACAACGAACAGTTTAACCTACATTTATCACCAAAAGTTTATTCTTATTACTTTTGTAATGTTACATGTAGAAACAAAATATTCAAGGTTGGATAACTTACACATCTCCATTCATCTAAAAAATTCTCTCCTTACAATCTATTCATATCACTTTCACTGGCCGGCGTGTCAGACTGACGTTTGCGTGTAAAGTTTCCATTAAATTACGCCATTCTACAGCGAAACGCTTCCTGTAATTTTGAGTGACACACTCCTGGCGGTTTAGAAATTCTTAGAGAGTGATCTAAAGGTTTAGTGGTCAGTGAATATGTTCAACTTCTTGTTTCATCACTTACACCATTTTAAAGGCATTCATACCTTAACAATATAGACAATTTTTAACATTCAGGTATAATAATAGAAGTAGTTTTAAATTTAAAAAATGTTATGGATGATTGATGTTTCGGACAATATAGGAAATTATATTTCGCATAAACGCACTTTTTCTTTTCTTTTCCAAAAAAAGATTGAAAACTTACCTGTTCAAAACTGTAGAAAAGGAGTCATGCATATTGTGTTCTTAGAGGTAAAAGTCTTAAACTTTGTTAAAAGCTCTCAGTTATTGCATTTCTAGCTCTTAAATGATGACATTAACATTAAAGTAGGAATCCCCTGTCATTAAAGCTATTTATAATCACTTGTTTATAGGTATGCACTTTGATAGAATCAATTAACTAGATATCAATCACTGTATTTTCTATCAAATAAAATGGTGAAATGTCAATCAAGAAGAATAAAAACATTACAGTATCAATTATCCCTTGTGCTTGTAAACAGAATTTATCACCCAGGAGTGACCAAAATAAGAGAAATGTGATTAATTTCCTAGAGTTTCCACCCTTCAATTAGGGGATGATTTGTCTACGGGTCATTTCTATCAGCTGTCGCAGTCACATCAGAGACAGACGAAATGCAAGGAAGCAGTGTGAAAGGTATATCCCATCCTACAACCCATACAGATCAATAATGCTACTTTATTTACTGCTTGTAAGTGTCGGCTTGCATGGTGATGTAGATGTACAGTAGGCTTGCGGGTGCACCATGTGAGAGAGAGAGAGAGGATAACCAACAGTCTTTTTCAAGACTACACAAACAGTCCTTTTCAGGACTACACACCCTCAAGAAAGATTACAGAGAGTCCTTTTCAGGACTCCTCAATCCTCTCTCTCTCTCTCTCTCTCTCTCTCTCTCTCTCTCTCTCTCTCACATGGTGCACCCGCAAGCCTACACATACTTTATTTACCTTGAAACATAGTGAGTTATGCCACTCTTTGTTCGCCTTTGAACGCCATTTTAATCAGTAATGTTATCTAGTAGTGATATTAATAGATACTATCTAAGTTTTTGAGTAGTGCTTGTATAGATACTACAGTCAAACCTGCTTTAGTGACCACCTGTATAGAAAGACCACATTTTTGGTTCCATTTAAAATGGTTTCTCTTTGACTCCAAAGAAAGTGAGTACATGATTATAGCAATAAGTGAAGGGCCTTACAGATTTACATCATATCTGATGGACGACATTATATCTAAATGAAATCAAAATTGAATATAGCACAAGTTCCCAAATTCCTAATATCCTTGGTAGACTTCATATGTAATTTGGGCATTCTTTTAACAAGTTTTTAGAATATTTCGGCCCATAGTTCAGCGACTTCTTTCCTAACTAAAAACCCTGGGGGATTTCCTTTAGCTGTTGAAATAGTTCAAGATAGTAACAAGATTAATCATTTTCACGAAGCTCCAGTTTGTCCTGATAGTGTGATGAATGCAATGAAGAGTCAATGAACTATGGTATCCTTCACACAGTTACATGGAATTCAGCAGGATATCCTATTATTTTCTATCCATGGAGTGACAAAACAGAACTTTGACATAGATTTGGAGGAAAGAAATAAGTATATCTTTGCCAGACACAGTAATATGATTTTCATATGGTATTGTGAAACTTGTGGAGATAATTAAGCCTTTTTTATGAAGTAAAAGTAATCATGTTATTACATTATCATTACCCAGTATCCAAGATGCATGTAACTTAAAGGCATCTTAAGATAAACTTGAATTCTGTAGACTGTTTTCATGCAATATCTCCAAATCCAACAATCTAAAAACATTATTCCTTTTCTTTTCTTTTTTCTTGCTACAAAATGTGTGGGTAATATCAGGCTTCTTTCTCACATAACTAACTATATTCATTAATTAGACTTGCAATATATAACATTTTTATATCAACATATCCTAAGAGATAATTACAATATTTTTGTCACCATCTTTTGACAGGGGGACACCCCTTTCTCATAAAACATATTCAATAGTCATCAATTAAGGCCATCAGCATCCATGTCAGGATGTGAACATATCTTGAAGAGATAATAGATATAGCTTTGTCACCATCTTATGACAGAGGAACACCCTCCTCTCATAAAGAAATGCAATAGTCATCATGACAATCAATTATCTCTACATACGAATACAACCTAGTGATAATTACTTTAGCTGTGTTAGTATTGACTTGTTGTATGCTTAGATATAAACACTACCCGAAGAGATAATTACAGCATCTGTATCACGATGTTTAGAAAGTGAAACACCCCTCTACTCATAAAGAAATGCAATAGTCA